CAACATTTATGTGCGCCAAACCGTCCGTCCCGTGTCGGTGCTCATCGAGACGACCCCTAAACGAAACCAAGTGTTAAAACAACGGCCAAACAGTACGTACGCCAACCTGAAGGACAGTTGTGTCTCGCAGGCGCCTAAAGGTGTGACTGTTGTACACGTCGGACAGACTACCGGTGCCGGTGAGGGGCATATCATCACAGGTGTGGGCCATAAGAGGGCCGAATGATTTTAGAGAAAAATATAAATTTTATTAATTATTATGTATTTATAGTTTAAATAGATTTTTATGAGTGAATTGAATTTGAGTTTTAATAACAATTTTATAATTACTATATTTTATTGAATCATTTTTCTCATCAAATCGACAAAATGTGTTCCCTTTGTATGCAATTAAAAACAATTATTATTAAGATTTTTATCGCAAATTATTAATTGTTTTTGAGTTATAGTAAGAATATATTCATTATTTGTATTATTCTTTAATGGATTGAATGAATTTTTGTCAAAATACCGAGTTCATATTTGTTCATTATTTTTTATCACTCATTAAAATGGCATTTATTAAACAAATCATTCATTTTTATTATTATTTGATTGACTCTTGTGTTCAGAAAAAAATCATTTTTGAAATTACATTATAATCACAATATTATTGTAAATGAATTCATAAACAAATGAGTATTATAATTAAAATTGAATTTTTTATTTAAACTTATATTTTGTAATCAATTGCGAGAAAGCAATGAAATCGTGCGAAAAGATTGACACAAAATATGAAACATAAAAGTTTTGGTAGTTTTAAGCGATGTTTGAAATGAATTTTATATAATTAAGTAATTTTAACAAACGAGTGATTTTAGTAATTGTTTGTTTAGTATTAATATTTACATATAATATAGCAATGAATTGAAATATGATTTTGAAAAAGATTTATTTATAATTATATAATTAAAATGAGATCTGAAAAAACAATTTTATTTATTTATTTATAAGAATGCTATTTATATGGTAATGTGAATTATTATTAAATGGATTTTTAATCAATTCAATAAGTATATAATATTAATTAAAATATTTATATATATATTAATAAATTTTAAAATTAATTATTAAATATCTTGTCAATACGTTTCATAACATATATAATATGCAAACAATTTTGTAGTTTTCAACACTTATGTCAAACACTATTATATTTCAATGAATTATATATAAAATATATAATTTGTTTATAAAGTGTCTATAATTTACACCAAAAAACTTATATATAATCTAGGAACAAATGAATGCATAAAATAAAAATCAATTAGAAATTAGATTTTTACGTTTAGGTTTCAAAACAAAAATGAAAAACAAATGTTTGTCAAAATATTTTCATTCAAATGACTTTTAAAACAAAAATTTACAGCAATATAAACAATATAGAATTAAACATGATTAATTGGTGTAATATATATATATATATATATATATATATAGTATATTCGTAAAAATATGTTTGTTTTGTTAGAAAATAAACATTTGCTTGTTAAACTTCCTTGTATAATTACAATTTATATATTTCTAATTCAATTTATGGCAAAAATATGAATCATATATATAGCAATTAATAATATAAGTCAATTCATTTAGATTTTAGGCTTAATTAACAAAGAGTACAGAATATTCCGTTAATTATTCGCAAGAATATTCTGGTCTTTAAGACATTTTCACCGGTATTTTCGAACAGATTCTTAAAACTCGTGGTAATCAACACATAATATACAATAAAAGTGGGAAAATGTGTTGATTTCATTCAAAATAAGTATTATTTTTATGACAGTATATGTGGTGTTAACGGAAGACAAACTCATGGAAATATAATGTTAGGATTTATTTTGAAATTTGATTTGTGCCTGATAATTATGTGATAAATTGTGTGCAATGCTATCAAAAAACTATTTATACAAACCACACATTCAATGTCTCTCGTTATAGTGAATAATAATTGTATAAATATAATCAACAGATTTATGTTTATTAGTGTTAAATCTATCAAATAATTTAATAATGTGTCAAATAAGTAACCAACTTGTTAAATTATAAATTAAATTTTAAAATCGATAAATAACTGTTCACTATAATGAAGGTTCATTGAATGTGAATATAATTTAATAGGTTATTAGAATAGATAGAATTTGTAATCATAATTTTAATATAAGGTATGTCTAGACTCTAGAGTGTATTAAATATATTTTCTTAAATTATAGTATTAATATAATAAACAATTTGATTGTCATGTCATTCAGTCATTCAATATACTGTATATTCACCTCATTTTGTAGACAATAGTTATGTAATTAATAGTAAATCTAATTAATTTTATTTAATATAAGACATATTCCTAGCATTAAGAGCGCCGGGTTTGCATACTGGGCCGCAAGTGTAGCTCTCCGTAGACCCACATATTAGGCCTGTCCATCATCTGATGCCACAGAGCTATTTCATCGCCCATGGAGTCCATCCAATCACACGGCCTTCCGTCGTGTTTGCCTTAAAAATACCAAAAATATATTTAAAACTATTTACCGGCAAATATGTCTCAAAAATGGCATACCATTCCCCATGCCTAGCCGTACGCCTCCCAGGAAGTCATTACTCGTGATCTTGTCGTAGTCCCAGATCGTCAACTCCAGGCACCGTTCGGTCAGGTCCTGTACAGACAGGTCCTCGAATATGAAGGTGTGGTTCCACTTGGGATTACACGTCTTCTTGATGACCGGGGTCTTCTGTTTACTCGCTTTGGACTTCTCTGGCAATAGATAGCTAACGGTGCGAATCAGACATACAGTTAATACATAGGAGTCATGGGTGTAGGGATGAGAGGACAGGGATGTGTGCAGACCTCTTGCAAAACGGATCGGATGTGCCGTTAGACCGGGTGGCCGTCAGATTGTGAGCCTCTTTAATGAGCACATGGAGCTCGCCTTTGCTCGGTGTAGCCGCTCGCTGTGGACTACCGGTGCGATGGCGCTGGGCGTCGGGAGTCATATATTTGAGGGCCAAGAATATGTCGCCCTTGTAGTTGTTTTGGTTATCGCACGCATCGATCTAAATGCACAAATTTCATTAGGATTGTAAGCAAGCTAATAAGTTGTTGTAAATAATATATTACTGTGTCATCGACGCCTACCCTTTCCTGGAGTGGATACCACTTAAGGCCGGGCGTCTCAAACACCTCGTGGCCTAAGGGAAGGGACACTTCGCCGAGAAAGTCGTTGCGACCGAAGATGTCTGAGTGCCAGACAGTGAGCCATAGGTCCCGGGTCTCCACCTCCGAGATAGTCATATAAAACTTGAGCACTTCTTCGAACACCGGATTCAGTGTGTGTTTCTTGACTTTCGTCTTACGTTTACCACTCTTTGTCCGATCGGGCAGTAGGTATACCTTCACGTAACTGTGCCACACATATACCGATCCCATTAGACATCAATCATTATTTGTATAATTGTTTACTTACGGGTCAGACCGCATACGTTTGGTGTCGACGGGGGCTAAGTTCCTACACTCCCTGATGTACACCTCCATAGCCCCGGCCTTATAGTTATAGCTGATGGAGAAGAGTATCTCTCCGGTGACCGCCACTGAGCCATACCGTCCCCCACCGGCCGCGCTGTACACACTCGACAGACTCTCACTGCGAGCCTATTAGGGAAAGGGGTGTATATTTTAATTACAATCCTGTGATTTATAAGTTAGGGTATAGGTGCTCTTATGGGTTGGGTTTATTTTATATGCAAAATAACAAAAATAAATAAAATTTTTGATTAATTTTTAAGTCCATATGAAAAGGTAAGTGGACTTAAAGTCTGACTAAAAACATTAGTTTATAAATTTTACTATAATTAAACTATTATCTAATACTAGGATATTTTTGTATTAATGTATTAATTTGATTTATCTATCTTGATACTAAATTATTAAATCATATGATTATTCTTATGAACACTATTTGTAAACTTGTATTGATTTTTAAGCAAAATCTTATGCTACATAAAATATTACATCTAGTAAAACTTAGTAAAAGTGAGTTGAAACTTAAATATTTATTCAAGTGAAACATTTTTATTTAATATTCAAATGTACGCACACTAGTGGGTGTAAAATATTTATCAAAAATCTTTTTAAATATTTCATATATTTCATAAATACCCCAAATGACGATAAACTAGTTTGACTGCGACTATGGTATGCAAACACGTGGTGTTCAGTAGTGGTCTCATCGGACTCCTGTTTCTCAGTGCTCTGTCCATCACTACTGGCCAGTGATCCCCGGTTTGAGAAACTCTGTCACAGAATATACAGAATATTCAATAATTGAGTACATATTTCATAACAAACACATTATTCTCGTATTGAATACATTGAGACAAATAAATATTTCATTATTTGTTAATGTTTTCCATCATTCATCTTACGGATTGAGTAACTATTTAATAACAATAAGACTAAAAGCATCGGTATCTCATGAGATAGTACCCCGGGGAGGTCCACTAAAGTATGTATCGGTCACTACACCCACAGTTTGTTTATCAGTCGATGTTTTTCTCAAAAAAAACTTTAAACTCTTTTGGGAGACATTTATATATCGTAATGTACCGTATATGTTTTTACTCATCACTAATTCATGTATGCTTGAAAAATATGTGGAAAATGTATGGGAAGTATACCTCCGAGTAGTCGGACACCGATATTTGGGGTACATTACTGCCCTTCAAGTCCTTATTAACAGCGTTTTGCCGGTGATTGCGATCCTTAAACCTTCGCGGAGACCCACGATATGAGTTGTCATCTATTTATCATCAAGAAAACAGAAAAAACATTAATTAAAACAAAATATTTTCAAATGTAATACACATTGAAAGCGCATTAATAGCTGATTAAGAAAAGCATTGTGCGATTGGAGTACAAATCATGTGTATTACTGTATAAACAGTTACACAGAATATTCTGTATGTATAAGGAAAACCTATTATACTATCGGCACACGTATGCCAATAGTAATGATTACATGAGGTATTGAATGGGAATGTAATTAAAAGTAAGAAATATTTAGTGAAGTATTAATAATAAGCGTAAAGAGAAAGCGGAATAAAAAATAGCGATTTTTTTGCTCTCATATACTAGTAATGAGAGACAAAATAAAAGTTTCATTTCCCGATTGCAAGGACTGTTGAAAATCGAGACAAAACTTAATATTTAATTCAATACAAGAAAAAACAGATAGTTTTCGAGACATAAGAAATTCAAACCCATTATAATAATAGTTTGAATTGAATAAAAAATATTTCAAACATGATTTCATAAGAGTTTGTATACTGGAGAAAATAAATATATAGGAATATACAGTATTATATTATATTTGTTGTTGACATCCCATTAAAATTAAATGACGAAAACATTAAAATTTAAATTCTGGACTCAATTCCCATGTATTCCCAGTGCATATGCCATACATTTAATGGTTGGCTAGAATTAAAACTCAATTTTCTTGACATCCATATGTAATATATTATTAATATATCTGTAAAAATCATATCAACATAAGTAATAAACATAATTCCTATTTATATTAATGATATTAAATAAATAAATGCAAAATTCTGCTCGCATATACGATATACCATGAGCGTATAATTTATACACCAAATATATTCACATAGGGCATACCTGCCAACCCCTATTGTGTACATTTTATTAAATCTAATACCCCTTATGATAGGTATTCCTACATCAGTGCTACAGCACTCAACACATATAATATAATATATGCCATGATAAATGAAATATTTATTTTAATTAGGCATATATTTGTGTTCACCAAAAATGCTATACATATAAATATAACGTTAATATTCATGAGATTGATATGTAAAGCGAATGGAAAACATATATATTTAGGTCATTATAAATAAGATGTTTTTTTCGGTGAATACTTGAGCTCATAGACAGTGGAGGTCACAGTTTGAGATTGAAAATGATTTTATGGTTAATCTCTATAGAAAGGAGTATTGAATTCCTGACATTTCATTAAAATATGAGATTACTTTTGAGTACACTGAATATGATATTATATTTTTATATACTCACTACTTTCTACTTTAGCAATCTCTCTCTCTCTCTCTCTCTCTCACACACACACTCACTCACTCACTCTCATTAATTTATTAAGTTTTATATAATAAAAGCAAGAAATATTTACTCGTTAGTATTTATATACATTCTCATTAAAATTTGCAGTATAAACGTTAGATTATTAAAATATTGTATAATAGTACGAGTTAATCAACAATCTATTTTAGGATAATAATAATTATTATAAAAATCATAATGACTTATATTATAATGAATTAAAAACTTAATTATCCAAAAAATTATTAGGATTTAATATTAAATAACTTCTAAGATATTATAAGTAGTCGTTTATTAATAATTAGTAATATTATATTGTAAAAATTAAAAATAATTATAGTTATTTCAAATATTATATATTATCAAATTTGTTTTCATTTTTATATAATATCCAAAAATGTTCAATTCAATGAATAATAAATAGAGAATATTCTTACGTAATGTAACTAACATAAACAAAATATCCGTAAATACATAAATCTAATTATTTAATAATAATTAAATAATAAAACATTAAAGAATATTCTACACACAAAATAATTACTAAAATTGCTTCACCTGAAAAAAACCAAAAAATTTATGTCAAAACCAATTAGTGTTTAAAAAAGTGTTTCATAACAAACAGTATTAAATATTTACTAATAACTATATAATAACGTTATACAGTACTGTATTTTAATTGAAAATATGTTACATTATTATTTTATATGGTTATTAATATTGAAAAAGTGTATCAATATATTTCATGAGATTATATATTATTTATCAGTACATTTCGAAAAACAAAAATCTAATATACTTTAAATCCCCCAGTTAAAATCATAAATAATCTACTTTATTTGAAAAAATATATCTATAAATCTTGTATTATATTTAAGTGCATCGATAACCTCTTTCACAGAATATTCTCATATATTTACAGAATATTCTGTAGTAAACAGCGGAATGTAAGTGTCGTTCCTCTTAACAATGAGTCTTAATATGAAGGCTTATGTTTGCACAATAGCTTTGCGTGTAGGTGTCGGGTAGGACAGGGAGTTGTTGCCCGTATAAACTGTATGATACTCACTCAGGCATGGTGTTTATGCGATAAACACATATTTGATAAGGGGTTGGCATATAAGTGTCTACACGTGTGTGGGCTGGAAGTCTGAGTGACACTCGATTAAGACTATAAGATATGAGACATTCAGACATTGAAACAAACAGTGGTTAGTACGGGGGTGTGGGAGCAGTCATATATTATCTAGGAATATTTAATTAATTACTTCTTATTACGGTAATAGCTTCCTTAATATATTATTTATCAAGCTAATCTAATTCTATTGTCACTTATTTTAGATATAGTGACAAGTAAGCAAGTTCATAAAATTATAGTAAAGTGTAGGATATTTGCCCACTTGCTATGAGAATCAGTGTGTGGGTTATTTTAATTAAAGTAATTTATTTGAATTATTAAATGGGATTAATATAATAACCACCCTGACCACTTGTGTTTAACCCCCGCCAATGGGCTACTATTTAATAATATGAGTGAATGACACTTAGGTTACAATGGATTCATATATTTGTATTAAGATATATAACTGAAACACATTACTCGACACTATATTTGACATAAAAGGCAACTATTTTTTGCCATCACTTTCACTTAAATAACACAAGAATTTTCAGATATGAATCGCTACTCATATTTCAAATTCTTACGAGTGTTTTGAAGTTATTAAGTTATATCAAGAATTATGTGCAAAACGTTTTTACAAATATAAACATATAAATAAATATATATAATATATATAAATATATTTATACATCGTAAATATATAGGAGTTAACAGAAAATAATGTGATATTTCGTAATACAGTGTTTGCGAAATATAGTTGATTAAATCAACTCACCAGTGTATATATTTCACAACCACTTTCGATACGATATATAAGGCACGGAATTAATATTAGGATAAAGTGGTAGTAAATGGAAAACATTTATTTATGTACTCAAATTGATGGTCGACTAAACTAATCAGAGACAATTCAGTGTAAAACAATAGCCTACTGTAATTATTAAATTGTGAGAAAATAAATAAGTAAATAAATTTTAAAACATATAATAATTATTTGCCATATTATATGATTGGAAAATATACTTTGTACTCTCATAAATTTTTTATTTAAAATTAAAACATTATAAAATATACATTAAAATACTATGTTTAACTTGTAAATGTGAGATAAATATCTAATCTATGCTAATAAAAGTTTTTAAGTTCACAAATAAAATAAAAAATATTAAATTAGTGGCAAAATTCACATTGCAACCTTATAATTATTATTGAGATATAATGTGATTATCTTATATTGAGACAAATACGGGTTAATTAAATTACAGACTAATATATACTAAAATAAATTTAGTAATCAAGGCCAGTTTCAATGGGTTTAAGGGCCTATAACAGTATTGTATTATAGTAAATAGGAAGTCATGTCACACATTGATAGGTTTTTGAAAATTATACACAAATTATTATGGTAAAAATAAATTTTCAAGTTATGAATCAGTGTATACCTGTCTATAATAAACTGTTTAAAAAATCTGTTTATATATTAAATATTCATTGATTGCCAAAATATTTTGTCTAATTATAAATGTGTTGCCAAAGTCATCGATCAAAAAACATTGAGAAATGTTATGATTATAAATAAAGGGTTATACATAAATAAAAAGTTATAATCATACTTTTTAAAATATTTAAAAATATATTATAGTTATTTGTTTTAAAGTTCATAACTTTTTCAAATCTTTTATAATTTAAAATTCAAAGCTTACTCGCGAAACGAGTTATTAAAAAATAAATTTAATAATAAAAAACGCTTTCATAATCCAAATGGAAATGTAGCTAATTTGGGAAAGGGCCAACAAACCGACCTCGTTTATTAATTTAAATAACCATTGAATTGATATAAAATTTACACTAGCTCACTATGTCTATGCATTTTTTGCTCATTCATTAAAATATGCTAATAATTCAATTTCTTATTCAAATGTCAAATAATTGTCTTAAAATCAATTTATTTCATTTCAATGCCTTAATTGTCATTTATTGTTATAATTGGAGGGATAGACAGGTAATCGAGTAAGACTACTGAATAGACATAATTTTATCTATTTATAACAAAACTATGTATATTTTTAGCAGCAGGGTATCTACAGCACAGTATATTACATGTTTGAAAGTATAATAGACATGAAACATGGAAAACAATTGATAAGAAATTACTTAAATATTAAATAATAGGGAATATAAGTGGGAGTGGATGCAAGACTTGATTGAATTGCTTGAAAAACTTATTTTAGTGGAAAATATAGTAATTTTGAATTCATGACTGAATTCCGGTGTTTACGACACTATGGTTACAAAAGATGTCTTAAACTTAATTATAGACTCATATAATATGCGATGAACTCAACTGAATATAAGTGTATAATCATTAGCGAAGTTGCAATTGAATACAATTATCGATAGTTATGAGTCGGAAGCGTAGGTAGTCCCAAATTGGGGACTGGTATGTCGCGTGTAATGCTATTTAAAAACAATTAAATTTACGACTAACAAATATTGTAGAGATTTGAATTCATGATTTCACAATTTTACTAAAAATGAAGTAATGTAAAAATTAATATATCAAAAGTACTCAGTACACTATCTTAAAATATATTATATCGATATATGAATAACGATTTATTAAAAAGGGTACAATAAAAATTCATTAAGTGTTTAGTATTTATAAGCAAAAGCTTTTCAATCTCAGTTTAGTCATTCAAATATATATATCTGATCTTTTAAAATAAAACCCGGATTATATATAGGCTTTGAATTGAAAGATTTTTCATTGAAACCAATGAAAAATCTTTCAATTCATAGCCTATATATAATCCGGGTTTTATTTTAAAAGATCAGATATATATTTGTAATGTGTGAGCAAGATAATGTTTTAAACTGTATATTTTACATGTGTTTTAAAGCTTTAGATGGGTTTTCAATGTATCCTTTTAATTAATCGTCTCTCATATACAGTATACATTTGATTTAATTTATAAAATGTTATTTTTGGACACTTTATTTTAGCGAGGGTTAATCTCATTTATTGGTGACTTATTTTAGGATACAATTCCCACGTAAACGTCGTGATTGTATCTAATATTATATAAAGTTGTGATTCGTTTTGGGAATTCATATAAATTTATGTGAGACTATACTCTATACAACAAAAAATATCAATTCAAATGGCATTAAACTCCTTATATTTTATAGCCTTTCTTAATAATTTAATTTTGAGAAAATCAAAGTTTAAATTTAGAAATACTGCTCTCTCTCTCTCTCTCTCTCTCTCTCTCTCTCGAGAATAAAAAACTTTTAAAATAAAGTGAGTCTCTCTTTCATACTGTAAATGAAATTACGAAATAAAAAATTTAATTTAAAATTTAAATCTCTTTTCAGGACACAAAGAATATAATAGCGTTTAAAAGATTATATTCAATATGATAAATATACATATAAAAAGGTTTTGTAATATATTTTGCAAATCAAACACACATTCACTCAATACATGTATTGAATTGATTAGACGTATCCCTTATTATGGTATAAATCAAGACAAGACTACACTTTTTGCGAGACTATATTTGCTTATAAAACAAATTCACATTTAATTTATGTCTGATTTTTACGTCACGTTTTGCTATGAAATTCTTGAGACTCGACGAGAGATTGAAAATCAAAATACAAAAACACATCTTAAGTATTAAGTAATGAAAATTGTTTTTTGAATCCACTATTTGAAGTGCACTTTAAATGCGAGTCTCATGTTGTGTCAGTAATTAGTTTGTGTTTTTAAGAAACAAAAAGTTTTTTATATAATTAAAACTAATTAACCGAATATGTGGAGAGATTTCCAGATATTTATATACAAGCACATACTTATTTTTAAATAAATAGGCATTTTTTGTTTTTGAAATTAAACTTAATTCAATATACAAAATAAAAAATATTGCTAAATTAATATCAAGCGTAAACTCTTTAATTAATTTATTAATTGATATTTTTTACGTAAATTTATATAACCTTCAAACACAGACTTATCTATTATAATCTAGACAAAATGAATTTCAATACAAATATAGCCACTAATTATTATAACCATTTACTGAGGATAAACAGTGTCTAAAACCTTAAATCCTGAAACAAAACACTAATTAAACCGTTAATTATTGGCTCGGATTTACAGCTTAAGTGATGTGAAAAATATCTATTATTTAATCGACTGAATACTACACATCAATATCCAGTACCATTATCCAATATCCAATACAATGCCATTTACTGACCCCATAATACCCTTTACGTAGAAATACTCAATAAATTATCAATTGATATATCGTTGAGAGACATATAAAACTAAGAAAATGCGATACAATTGGCAGACAATAGCTAAATGACATGTCTTATAGTGGATGAACAGCCCACAAAAATCCAAGTATTACTTTGATATGTAATATAAATATATAACAATAAAGTAATTGATTTGAGAGATGCCTACGAGAAAAAAGTGGTCACAAAAAATCGTGGGTTTAATTGCTATATCAGGCTATCGGTGCGGATCCGATGCACAAGTATGTCGTTGTTTGGGAGACAATCATAAATTATTTTACGAGAGAAAATCAAATCATTTACTATAAAAATACAGACATCTTATTATGGCATGACTTGGATTAGGTCAGAGGGACAGGGATGTGAAACCATAGAAAAATATTTCCTATTTTAATTATAGTAAAAATACTAAAAATATATATCATATATAGAAATATTTTTAAATCTCTATAATGTGTTAAAATTAATTTTGATACATGTGTTGACAGTTAGTATACCCCCACAGCTCCGGGTGATCCCCTAGATGTCTATTTCAATTAAGTGGACAGACATTTAAAAACTAGGTCTTATACTACTACTTGAAAACCACTTTAAAAAGCAAACACACATTTAAAAAACCTTTTATGTCTAACAATTATTTTCTATACAAAAACTTTTTTGTTATATAATTATTATCTCAATATATAGGCAATAGTTTCGGTGAATAACGAGAGGTTTAATAACGAGTTTTGATCATCAAAAGCAAAAATAAACTCTTTTCTGACATAACATTCTTAACATTTAAGTCAATTATTGGGTCACTTATGATAGCCTACCGGTGCTGCACTGGTATTTCAAGTGAGTTCACTAAAAACAAAATTAAGATAAATATTTCTCTTGATATCTCACGTCTCATGTCTGTACTTATGATTTAGTTTTTACTTATAAACTAAATATTTTTATATATAGTTATTACACGAGAAATATTTGTCGTCAACAAACGTATTAAATATAATATGCTGGCTAATAAAAATATTTTTACATAAATGTCTAAATAAATATTATGTTTAAACTCTCTATAAATAAATATTATATCTTATTTTCAAGTTTTATATATAAATGTATTATGTTTTGTATGAACTTAATATAATAATTTTATATAACATTAAATATAAGTAACTTGTGATAAACAACATTATAAGGTATTAAATTAAATTTTAACGGATCAATTTGAGTTGAATTTAACACTAAACTATATTTTTTATATAAAATAATGTGATATTAAGTTTTGTATTGAGTTTAGGGATACGATTAGGCCATACATGTGTGGGCTAGCATTCAAGTGTTTACAGGCATACCATCTCATCAATTATGATACATGGATACATAATACATGTCTTGTAATTATAGTTTTATTAACAGACGGGTAATAATATATTATATTGTTACTTACTTGTTATTATCGGTAGGGTATGGAGGGTTTGGTGACCGAGAATTTTATATTCAGTAGGTTTTGATAATATTAACCATTTGATGTAAACTTATAGTGTAATTAATGGTTTATTAAATGGTTTTATGTTGGAAATTAAATGCTTATAAATAGGTTTTTGAATATAAATAGTGTTTAATGAGATGAAAATTGAATATTACTTATAATATATAAGTTATTAATTATAACCTATAATTTTAATTTAGTATTACTTTGAAAAATAATATTTATTTGAATTTTAAAATTTACTAAATTAATGAAAAGGAAAGGCAGAGTAGGAAAGGGAAGGCTTTGAAAGTGGGTGAGAGAGAGAGAGAGAGAGAGAGAGAGAGAGAGTTCCTGAATATGTGACAAAAATAAATATAAAGTTTTTATATAACTCCCATTGTATTGTAGTTTTGTATAAATGTGTGTCAAGAAAGTCCAGTCCTTTTTTGTTATCATATGTTATAATTATTTAATAATTAAATTACACATAAAAATATAAGACAATAAAAACACTAAACACTTATTATTCACTTTAAACGACAATATCTCACAGGAATCTCATAATTAAAATAAACACAAAAATTACTTTGTTTTCACTGATAATATAATTTAATTCTCTCTCTCTCTCTCTCTCTCTCTCTCTCTCTCTCACACACTTTCAAAGCCTTCCCTTTCCTACTCTGCCTTTCCTTTTCATTAATTTAGTAAATTTTAACATATGATAACAAAAAAGGACTGGACTTTCTTGACACACATTTATACAAAACTACAATACAATGGGAGTTATATAAAAACTTTATATTTATTTTTGTCACATATTCAGGAACTCTCTCTCTCTCTCTCTCTCTCACACACACACACACACACTCACTCACACACATTTTGTCCGGAAGTTCTCTTATTTCTTGAGTACCTGTCCCCTAACGCCCACACAATAAATATAAAGAGTGAGAAAAGTCAACAAAATAGTAGAGAATTCCGAGAAAATTAGATTTATATAAGAGATGAGACCAATTATGGTAAATACCGTATACCGATTGACCCCATTGTCTATTAAATAACACTGGTGTAATAATATTTATTACATAGCCCTTTGGTATATTCAGTATTTTCTGATAAATATTATTATACTCTAAATGTCTTATTAAAATATATTTGTAACAAATAATTATTATTTAATAATTTTGATTCAGTACTATACATTATCATTATAATTATTATACTGTAATATCTAAAAAATATTAAAATTATGCTAAATAGAAATGGATTTCCATTCAAGAAAAGTATATTACTTATTTCTATTGAATGTACAAAGTTGTATATAAAATACAATAATAATAACTAAAAGCTTAACGTTGAATAATAAAAGCAAACATACATTTAATTATTTGATTTTCAGATTATAGTCGCAAACAAAAAATAACAACTAATTTGTATGAAAATAACAACAGCGAGGACTGGGAGGACAGACACTGTGTTTATTTAAGTTATTTATTCACGTGAAATGTCTGTTAATTTAACTAATGGTAAAAAACTAAACACAAAATACCATTATATAAAGTAAAAATTATTTTCTAACATACATTCCCACACATATACCATATACTGTGTAGTACCCGGATTCAATTAAGAGACTAGTAAGATATAAGTGTGATATGTATTTGTACTATATTTTTAAAATAGCATTTCTAGACACAATTTTCGATGTTTTATTCGCTCACAAAAAATTAGTCCTAAAAATAGTACATTAAGTAAAATAATCGGATTTAAGGATCACTTAAAAGGCTCACCAAAACTAACATCACTGTTACGTAACGTTAAATAAAATCGCATTTTTATTAAACCCATACAAACAAATTAAAATAATCCAGCACACACACACTGACCATGTCTATACTGTACTATCAACTCTAATAAAAGGTTTGGTAGGTATGCTAGCTTTTAATATCCATGTCCCTATAGATAAGTCATGTACACAACATTTACTATTCAAACAAAAAAGTTTTCTACTTAAACATAATAAAAAAGTTAATTATAATGGACAGTGGTTCACTGTGCTATCTAATTGGCAACCTTGATTATATTTGTAAATACCGTGTGAATGACCATATCAAAAGGTTCTGGGCGTATTAAACAATTTAGCCACTATAACCTTTAGCATAACAAAAATCAATATCAATTCAATAATAAGTGCTAGTACGGTAGTAAATGTATTTCCAAAACATGGAGGTGCCCTGCTATTATTGGCTTAATATAGTGAATACCGTATTCAATAAAGTCTTTATTATATGTGAATATACTGTTAGGATTAATACCAATAGAGTAGTGAATTAGATATTGAATGTAACATAAGTTCCTTATAAATAATACCCCTATTATTATAACCAATATAAAAGTAGTGAATTCAATGTAATTTAATTATTGTATTAGTATTTTACTGTATGAATGGCATAGAAAGAGTATAGGAAATAAGTTATTGGAGTATTAAAATACCATGATTAATGAATCAATAACTTATTATTTGCTAAATGGTATGATTAATAAACTAAATAACAAAGTAGTTAGAAATCAATATGAAACAGTATTAGGTTTGTACAAATTTATGTAATTATTTTAATGGTGAAAAATTACGAGATGCATTATCATCATACAAAACTTAATGACATAAAAGTTTGCAAAAAATAAAACAATAAACTATTAAAAAGTACTTTCATTCAAATAAAACTACAAATGCCTGAAATATTTACACCTTTTTGTCTCAAATAATAGAAAAACATGACATTTCCAACAGATTAATAATACATTAGAGATATATATTCCCACAATTTGTCTGCGAAAATATGCACATATTTTGAGGTCACAGACCAGTAAATAGTGATTTTTGTGTTGAAAACACTCGTAAATGATATGTGGTTTTGTTGCCGGAAATTAATTTGAAGCGAAAATATTTTACGGGATAACTGTCAGTAGAAAATCACTATTATATTCATATCATACGGTATTATATACGATAACATTGTGTGTAACAAGTTATGAAATGTTAAAAAAATACATTTTAATTGAATTCTGTGTAGAAAATAGTTTTTTAAAGGAATTATTATTTTTCTATTAAATACCTTTCCATCAAAAAAGTTAATGTCAAACGACTATAACTTACTTTAAAAACCCACTCAAAAATCTAATGATGATATAAATCCTATTAAAACAACATTACATACCGGCGCCGGTAATGTAATCCATGAGATACCAGACAGTCGTACAATAAGTATTATATTTAATACAAGAATTTTAGAAAATATTTTCTTTCAATTATAAATATATTGAAAAATGGCTGAGAATTGACTCAATTTTTTGTTTCATTTTAAGAAAACGAGAAAAATATTTTTGTTTGTGATATAAATCGAAAAATTTAATTCAGACACATATATATTTGCATTATTACCATCATATATCACGAAAATATATTAATATAAAACAATAGATTTGTGTTTCGTTTCCGTTCACGTTATATAATAGCGAGAAATGTATTGATCTTAACATTGAATGCATGATAAAGTGGTAGAGAATAGAGTGTATAGTATAGCGTAAAAGTATAGTCCGTTTTAATGAAGTGGAAGTCTAGGAAATAGAGAGAAATGTATGTTAAGTATAAATTATTAATGATATGTTAGTCTATTTATGTCACAAAAGTGTTGGGAAAAGAAAAATGTTAGTTAAGTATAGAATAAATAATAATATATTTATACCCGTAATAAATATATTTATAGCGTATTGCCATAGAAAATACAGTAAACTATTCCCAATAGTATGAGTTTAAAAAATATAACTTATAACACGGTTTACTATATCATAACTAACACTATCTTAACTTGATTATATAACTGTAAAACACGGCGTATAGTTAATAAAATAAAACTTATATTAAAAATTCATCAAGCAAGTATATTGATGGCTATAAATACTCTTACTATAGCGAGAGTTTACTATTTTATATCGATATATAATTTAATAGAAAAAACTCAATTAAATAGTGTTATAAATAAATAAATAAAAGTACAATCAATGGATAAGAGAGCACCGGTAGCTCATCAGACATACCTCCGCGAAGTGCCGTCAGTTTGCGTAACACGCCGGACGTGCTGAAGAATGAGCTCCGGGTCCTGTGGGGAATGGTATGCTGACGCTGACCGGACTGTGTTAACTGGCCATTGCTGGCCACAGCCCGGTGCTGGTGGTGGCGGGCGTTCAATGGCAGTGAACTGCTCCGAGAGGCGCCAAAGGGGTCGTCGCCCGGCAGGTTAGGCGACGAATAGGACAGGCATTTGGCAACGGTATGAGAGGCCGGTGTGAACAGCCGTCTACTATGACTAGTCGTACGGCTGGTATAGGTGTGATACCGGGGCTCCGGCGCTGTACTACCAGTGGACGACATGAGCTCCTCATCCACTTCCTCGACGATTGTCTCGGATTTCTTGGACAAGTGTTTCGACATATGAGGCAGTGTTGAGGCGGAATAAGATCTCATGGGTGGGGCGCCGGCAGTATTGGTAGACATGGACTCATCCAATGACTTAATGCTCTCCTCCGACGACTTGAAACTATAATATCCGGTGTCTCTGAACGCACTCTTATTACAGTGAGAGGAACGGGAGTCCAGTTCCGCGATATTGCCGGCGCTCTTAGTCGACACGTGCGTCGTCTTCGCCGACTTTCCGGTCGGCGCCGCCATTAAGCCGTTGGCGGCCAACAGGTTGTCCTCCGACGAGGCCTTCTCTTTGGCGTTGAATGACTTGCGGAGAGCGCCGGCCGTCAGACTCGGCTCCGGGCCGTCCTCGTCGTCGCACTCATCAATGGCCAGTCGGCTCGTCGACTGAGTGCCATCGGAGCTGATCTCGGACTGGGAGGCGCCGGCAGCTATGCTACCGAACCGGGCCTTAACGGTCTGAACGCTGGACACACTGTCGCTACTGAAGCTCCGGTCCTTCAATGAGTCAAACAATGGGGACATACTGTCCACCCGTGGGGTCGTGTCGTCAATCTTAAGCACCGTCTTATGACCGGTAGGTATGGCCGCCGCCGGCACTGAAACCGACTGCCTGTTTGTCTCATTTACTGACACCTTATGCCGCACTTCGCGACCATTGACTGTGACCTCCTGTGCCTTATTAGGAGTGGGCGTACGCCTGGCCGGAGGCACAGGTGGTGTGGGCTCGGGCTCTGCCGGTGCGGAGACGGGAACGTTAGCTGCGGTGTTGGGCTCATCGGCGTTGGCCTGAAGTTTACTGAACAGACCGATCCGGGCCTCCCAGCTCTTGAGGGACGCCCTGTCGTCATCAGACGAGGGACGACCCCCACTGGCCATACCTTTCAGGTTAGTCTCGTTGAGAAGTGCCGTGTCTTTCGACGAACAGTCCAACAGTGCGAAGAGCTCCTCCATCTCATGGGATATCTCCGATTCGGTGGGCGTGTGGTCCGAGTCGTCGTAAGAGGGGATCGACACACTGGCCGAACAGGTAGTCTCCGACCCGGACTCTGACGGCGCTTTCGCCCCCTTCTTCTTGTTGCCGCCCAATCCACCCATTCTGGGACTACTGTCCCCGCAGTCGCTGCTGTCCGGCCCGGTATTATCGCCGCTACTCACGTCTAGTGTGCGGTGGGGCTGGAAAGGGGTCTGACGTTTGCGGCGTTCCCTTATAGGGCTGGGCGTCGCGCACTTCACGGTATGCATGAGCGCCACGATTTGGTCCCTGATATACAACCGAGCTTTAGCCACATCAGTGGCCGGCACAAGAGCTCCGGGAGCTGTTGGCGTAGTACCGGTACTGTTACTGATGATGTTGTTGCTGTGATCACTACCGGCGCTAATCTGTCGGTCCTTTTCGTTGTTGAACGCGATTTCAGTCAACTTTTTCAACGAACTCATCAGTTGTTTGCATATATAGACCGTCTCCTCGCTGACGGTGCTGTCGGTACTGCCGGCGCCGTCTGACTTGTTGGCCGACCCTCTGTGCCCTTTGACCCCTACCTCGGCCTCATCATCACTCTCCAGAGTGTCGGAGCCGTAGTCGCTATTATTGCTACCTATAGTGCTGCTGGAGGTGTAGGTGCTGTTATTGCTGGGACTGGTGGACAGGTGTGTGGCGGTGGGGGGCAGTGGTGGGGGTGCGGGCGATACCGCTTCCATAAGGCGCGCGATTTGTGACTCAAGTATCTTAAGGGATGGCAACGGGTTATTACTGTCGGCGCCCTGTCTCGCACCGGTATGTTGGCTATCATTGCCTTGATTATTATCTGTTTGGTTTTGAGCTACCGGTGCTGACGGCAACCGATTATTAAAATTAGACATATGTGTCAACAGCCGAGACATAAATGTCTGCACCTCGTCCTCGCACTGGTCTCGGGTTTTTGCATCACATGCCTGTCCATTGGGCACAACACTTGATTGGCTACTAATCACTACATTATCATCATTTATCACCACATTATTAACAGTCAGTTCCGGAGGTTTAACCACACTATTGGTGTCGATCACTACATCATTAACAACAGTATACTCGAGCGAGTTGTGGGAACTGGCGTTATCCTCCTCGAGCTCAGACATCTCGGACATCTCCGACGCGATCATTGGCTCCAAACCGATTGGTTCCAGCGAGTGATGTCTGGACGTGGAGTCGCAGTCACTCTCATCGGCGAACTCGCAGTCGTCCGGATAATTGAAAGCACCGGAGCCTAACAGTCCGCTCGTGAAGTACTTCTCGAGTCGACTAGACGTCAGGTGCGCATACCTGTCCTCCGGCTCCGTGTACTCCGCGTCGTGAAGCATAGGCTGGTCGTCGTCAGTGGTCGGCGGCTCCAGACTGTCCACACTATCGGCCCCCTCCGAGCCACTGGTGGCCACTGAGCACCAGGAGTCCCGTTTATGGGCGTCCCTGTCGTCGCTGTCACTGGGGTTTGAGTTACTGCTCACGACTACAGCATAGGGTATGCTATTGGGGTTACCAGTCTGGCCTACCGTTCCTTCGCAACCACTGGTCTCACTGCAAGCTGAGGGCGTGGAGGGACGGGTAGATAAACGATCGCTTTCTTCGCAACTTTCCTCCGCAATCGTATGCAAAGAATAGGCCAAAGGGTTGCCATACGTCGAGTGCTGAGCACTCATACCCCTCGGACCGCCAGTTCCCCCGTTATTGTAGTTATTATAGGGCGTACTGAACAGCCCCTCCTCCGACGAGGTCGAGCCCCCGCCGTCACTGAGATTGTTCTCCATTTCGAGCTCCCGTTCCGCTGAATCCAAATCCCGGGGACACCGGCGCTGCTGGTAGTCGTCGACACTGTGATCGACCAGCCGTTCCCCTCCCTCTACCCATTCCTCCTCTTTGTCGGCAAAGGGAGACATACTGGCGAAGTGGGTGTAGGCAGGGATGGGCGACACTGGGCTACTGCTCAGTGACCTCCTGTTCCCCGTAACCACTATTACCTCCCGTTCCTCCAGCGATTGGGTGTAGTATTTCTCGAGTGCCGACGTTTCGTGGGGTTCGCTATAGTCCTCAATGTCGTCGTCGTCGGCACCGGTAGTATCAAAGGGTAAGTCAATCTCCGAGTCGGTGGCCGACGACTCATCACACGTGCTGTGGCTGTCGATGTGTAGGCTCACAGCACTGGTAGGCGTATAGCACTGGTGATTGAACTCATCCACGCACTGTTCATCACTAATGAAAGTGTCGTAGTGTTGAGCACCAGTAGTATCAGTATCACAGTGGCTGCTGTCCTCCACTAGCAGTATATCCACATAACCGTCGGTGTCGATGGACAGAGTGCGTAGGCGTTCCACTTCACGGCCGGCGCTACTGAACGCCTCACTCAATAAGTTTTCGCAAAACTTTTCAATCGCTACGATATATGCGCTCAACGTATGGGACGTATGCTCGCAACGACTACCTGTCCTACTACTGACGTACTGTACGGCACAGCACTGGCAGCTCGACTGTAGGCTGGGCACAGGTAGCTGATTAAGTCGTTCACAGGCCATGCCTTTGTCGCAGGCGTCACAGGCATCACATCTGGTCACTGATCCGTATAAGTAATAATAGGATCGACTGTAGCCCAGACCCCCGGCAATGCAATTATCTATGGCAACGGGTACTACCGTACGAGGGCTACCTGTGCTCCAGCCGCTAGGATTGCAACACCACCAGCTATGGTTGGCCTCATTGGCGGCGCTCACAGAGCACTGGTAGCTGTGCTGCTGATCGCATGGATTTCCATGAATTGCTGTGAGATTTAGTGGTGACTCGTGTTGGCTGTGGTAGTGGTGGTGCTGCCAGTGCTCCGACTTTGCATACCGTCTCACATCCACTGGTATGTGGGTTATGGAGGCAGTGCCTATGCTATGTGCTGGGGATTGGCCTCCAATACTGCAACCATATGCCTGTCCAACAGGTCCTACTTGACTACCACTACATATTAATGGTGTCGGCGCTGGCGAAAGACCTAAATTTTATGGGATTATATGTATTCATACATTAATATAACGTTTATTTTGAAATATGTTTTATAAGTTTATATTAGTTTTAAAAATAGGTTTTTCTGGAAATAATTTCATTCGCATTCAATATCTGGTTGTATGTGATGTGCCATAAAGGGGGGACTGGATGGGAAAGGGATGAGGGAAAGGGTTTTGGCAACAGGTGTATACAATAGGCACTTAAAATACACTGACTTTCAATGGGAATACACTTTAAATTGCATTCAAAAACCACACAAAATAGATTACATTCACTAATATATGCAGAAAAAGTTTTTTGTTGTTTATACGGATAGTAATTATATTGTACTCCCTTTCCCTTTGAATAATTACTGCAAAAACTCAAGCGTCGGAAAGGCTGTCCACCTCTGTTTCCCAACAAAAAATATTTTAATTCATGAATTAAACGCTTTTCACAACTCTTTTGATACAAAACTTTGTTTTGTGTATAAAACTAAATTTAGACACAAATAATAAGTTTAGTAAATATATAATAATGAATGGGAAAATTTGTATTCATTTTCAATTGTGTTTTATAATACAACTAATAAAATATGTTTAAATCAATTGTGAACGCGCTTTAAACACACAATCATAAATAAAAATCATGAAAAAGTTGGTATTTTATGTAAAATACAAAAAAGTAACACAAATTTAGTTCACAGTATATGTATAATGCAATTAGTGGCGAGAAAAATATTGGGTTAATAAGTATTTATACATTAAATTTAATATAATAAATTTTACGTTTCTCTAAAGTGTAGAAAAATAACAATTTGCGATATTTTATGGGCAAAATTGGATTTCATATTTTTCTTGACTCTCGGTTTGAAATATTATTATTTCATTATATAAATTAAGTTTTTGTCGGCTTCAATAATTTAATACCCAAATATAGGCGTATATCATAATAATGGTTATCATTGAAAAATGTGTGTAATTCTGCACTCAATTCGTGGTGTAATTATTGGCATATATTTTGTGAAGCATTTAGTGTAATAGACTTTGCTTAATATTACTACCACTTTATATCCACAAAAATACATATTATATTACTATTAAGGAAATAATGTATTAAATAACTATTGAATTGCTAGGTTACATAGCCGTCTCAATCATCAAATAACTATTTATAAATAATATTTGTTTTATTTTTCAATTGTCTACTACTGTTATAATACCGTTAATTGAGTAGTTAACGAGAGGTTAATGTGTTTTTTGGTTTAAATTAAATTAAATTAATTTTTAAATAAAAAATTATCTGTAATCAAAACCAAATTATCGATTCACCACTAAATATCACGAAAATATATAATACATTAAGATATCACTAAAGGATGTGTGAATACATCCAACGATTAGTAATATAATA